CTCCCCCCCCCCGCGGGCCCCGACCGGCAGGGCTGTGGGGAGGACCCCGGCTCCGAAGGGGGCGTCTGCGATGCCCTGGGCCTGTTGCCACCTCTTTGAAGCTTTGGGAGGTGCCCTGTAACTCCCCAGGCTGCTTTCAGCCCAGGCCTCGCCAGCTTCTTTGCTGCCTGCGACCACGGCAGTTTCCAAGCGCCCTGGGCTGGTGATGGGCCACAGGGGAGCGTGAAGGGGCCGAAGCTGCCCCAGCGCAGTGGGATTTGGCCGCTGAGCAGCTGGGGGGTTCCCTAGGACGTGGCCTGGGGTGACGTTTGGGGTGTGCTCGCTCTCAGCGTTGCCGCCTTCATGCCGCAGGGATGGGAGGCCCTCGGCCCGCATGTTGCTGCTGAAGGGCTTCGGGCAGGATGGCTTCCGCTTCTTCACCAACCACGAGAGCCGTAAAGGGAAGGAGCTGGTGAGTGCTGCCGCTGCGGCCTCCAGACCCCACGTGCAAGGGCCTGGGGGGGCGCCCGCTGGTTGAAGCCGTGCTGGGGAGCGAGCGCTGCTGGGGACGGGTGCAGGCGAGTCACCGAGCCATGCTGTGTGCGTGCTGGAGCCTTTTTTTTTAAGGCCGTGAGGGCGGCTTCCCAGCCCCTGCTGCGCTGAGGGCAGAGGCTGTCTCGGTGCCGTGGAGTGGCCTGGACGCGCCTCCGTTAGCCCCCGTTTCGATTAAGGCTCTGTCTCCCACCATGGGCCAGGACTGTGTGGCTGGACCTGCCTTGTTCCCTTCTGTCTTGCTCTGTGGCCCAGAGCACGTGGCCAGTCCGGCCTAGGCAAATTAGATGATTTTTCTAGGTTTTAAAGTTTCAAGTACTGCCTGTCTGCTGACAACTCTCTTGTTTTTTTCCTTTCCTCTCCCTGCTCTGCTCACCAGGACTCCAATCCCTTTGCTTCCATCGTCTTTTACTGGGAGCCCCTCAGCCGGCAGGTGTGTAGTTTCCCCTGGTGTTGGCAGGGCGCTTGGGGGACCAGGAAAGCAGCAGAGGGGACAAATCGATTCCTTGGCAGTGTTAGATAGCCAGGGCTGACCCTGCACGGGTTGGGATTTTGGGGCTTGTGTGTCCAGGTGGGGAGTCTGGACACTAGATGGCTCCTGGCTCCCTTTTCCCTTCCCTTCTTTGTGCTGTGGCAGAAATGTAGGCTCTGGGGGTGAGACGGGACAGGGGATGTCCTTCTTCCTGGGAGGAGAGTTGGGGAATGGAGCGACGCTTCTCTTGGGAGCTCACGTGGTTCTTCAGAGGCTGGTAGCCCTAACCCGTCTGACTCTGCCTGTGTAGGTGCGGATCGAGGGCTCAGTGAAGCGGCTATCGGAGGAGGAATCGGAGCGGTACTTCCACTCCCGCCCCAAGAGCAGCCAGATTGGGGCTGTCGTGAGCCGGCAGAGCACCGTCATTCCGGACAGGGAGGTGAGGAGTGCTGGGGCGGGTTCCTCCCCATGGCCGAGCGTTCCCCAGCGATCGTGTGCGGAGGGGACCGGCAGGGCTCAGGGCTCCCTCCCTGCCGTACTTGGTGCCCCAGGGCTTCACCACGTCTCCCTTTCCCTCGCAGTATTTAAGGAAGAAGAACGCGGAGCTGGAGGAGCAGTACAGGGAGACGGCAGTGCCAAAGCCGGCGTACTGGTGAGTCGCGAGTCGTGCGGTCACTAATTGTGGGGGCTGAGGGTTTGCCTGTCCCACAAAATTTGGAGTGTGTTCTTTGGCTGGAGGCAGCCCTGGGGGCCGGGAGGGGCTTGGACCTTCCTGTCCTGTCCCTGGCAGCCACCTCGCACTTCTCCCCCTCTGCCTTGCGCCAGTGGTTGTGCGGATGGTCTGTCCCAGGGGTGCCTGCGGGACCCCTTTAACGGCCTGTGTTTCTCTCCCAGGGGGGGCTACATCCTGCAACCAGACGTTGTGGAGTTCTGGCAGGGCCAAACCAACCGCTTGCATGACCGCATCGTCTTCCGGCGCCTGCGGGACGGCTCGGCCCCCCTGGGACACATGACGCACCGGGGAGAGGGCGGCTGGGTGTTTGAGCGCTTCTCCCCGTGAGGCCGCGAGGGTCTCTGGACATTTTAGCCCGATCGGGAGCGTTACCTGTTCCAGCTCTGCCTGTGTGTCCCCCTCTGTGCCCTGGGGAATGGGGTTGACCTTGCTCTGCCCTTCCTAGGGAAACTCATGTTGAGTCCAGCCCCAAGGACCCGTGTCTCGCTTTGCGTCTCTCTGAGGTGGCCCTAGAGCCTGTCAGCTTCCCACCTGCCAGCACGAGGGGAGCAATAGCTCCCAGTGCAGCTGGCAGTTAATTAATCATGTTAATGATTGTGGAGGTATCATGAGAGACCCCAGAAAATCGCCTGTCAGGGAACCATCTGTCCCCTTGTCGTGCCCTGCTACTGGGACCATATCATGCCTCATTTTTTTTACTAGAATCATGTGATTTGCTTGTTCTGTGCAATAACGTATTTAATTGTGGCTTTAATGTCACTGCTGCCTTGCTGGTGTTCGCGGCTGGCTGTGTGTGTTGTCACTGGTGTGCCCTATCTTTGCAGGGTGGTTGGACCCTGCTCCTCAGCCTGGTTGTAGTGGCAGGGCCAGTGGCAAACCGGTGCCTGCAAGCTGGGTGCTGCTCTTTGTCCTCCGCTGGCTAAGTGTACAAGCTTGGAAAAATAAAGCCCGATCGGAGCGGAGCTGTGCACTGCGTTTGGGTTAACGTTAACCTGCGCGCGGAGCCAGCGCTGGGAACGGCCGGGCTGCGCTCTCCGGCAGAGGGAGCCGGCTGCCCGCGTTGGCACTGGGACGGGGATCTGGGCCCGGTAAAGGCGGCCCAGCCTGCCGCCACGGACCCTGGTGAGAGCCGCTGGCTGCCTTTCCTCACTCTCTTGGGCCCTGTCCCAGTGAAACTGGGCCGTGATAACCTTTGTCCTCCCGCAGCTCTGTACATATGTTTACACTCTCAGTCATTTGCTTTTGGGCAGGATTGTACTCTGGCCTTCGCTGGCTGCAGCGGAGTCCGGCTGTTGCCAGGCTGGGCACGGAGGGTCCCCGGACCCGTCTGACTCTCGCGATACTGGCACAGGTTTCCCGTAGCCTGGGACTCTCCTTTGCAGTGAGAAATGCCCTGCTGCCTCCTGGCCACATCCTCCTAACGTGTGTAGCCCCAGGGTATGCGTGCAAATGTGTCAGTCCGCTTTGCAGCGGGCAAAGACCATTCCCTCCCTTCTGATGTGGCAGGGAGTGCAGCGTCTCCACTCCTCTCTCTGCGGGGTCCCCTCCAGGGCTGGATTCCTTGCTGGATCCAGGGCCCAGGCGTCCGGCCAGAGTGCCGCTGGCCGCTCCAGGAGGCGAGTGGAGGCAGCACCTCCTGCCGTGGGGATGGGGAGGAAAGGAGGCGAGCGCTAGTTTTGTGGGAATTTTTGCACCTCTGTGTTCCTCATCTGTTTGCAGGTGGTGCTGTTCCTCCTCTGGCCTCTTCCGGGGGGACACGGACATATTCCCTCACAGCAAGCATCTGGGATCCCAACACCGTGTCGAGGAAAGGCTTTGCTCAAACCCTTCTTGTCTAGGACTGCATTTGCGCCAGGCAGGTCGAAGGGGGTTGCCCCAGTGCCCTGTGCAGGATGGCTCTCCTGGCACGCAGTGCTTTTCCTGCCCCATTGGTGGTTTCCCTGCTGCGCGGGGCCCGGGTGGGCAGCGCAGGGGCCAGGGCTGCTCCGTGTCTCCGCAGGTGCGTGCGGCCCAGGCGTGCAGGAAGAGGTAGCTTTGATTGCGCCGGATTTGCGTGGCCCCTGTCCATGAGGCATATGAAGCCGGGAGCTCGATGGGCTTAGCTCAGCGTGTCTGGGCTTAACTTGCTCTCCGTGGGAGCAAGTCCTGTGCTGTCTTGCCCTTCACCTGTGGTGTCCCATAGCTGGGAGCCCACCTAATCTCTGCCAAACTCA